TTTTTTTCGAGGTCAAGTCAAGTTTGGCATGTTTCATCCTATCTAATTATATATACATATATGTTTTATTATTTTATTTAATTATATATATGTATTATATTGATAAAATTATTATTTAATACATTAATCTAATAAATTCATGGGTCATCCCTATTTGACATTTTTCCTTTTTCCTTTTCCCATCATTTCTTTTGTTTTTTTTTTGTAAATTGACTTTTTAAAATTAGATAAATTTGTAAAAACAAAAGTGAATGAAGGAATAACAAAATAACTCATACAGCAATGGTTTTTATTTGATCAAATCCAATATGAAATAGTTTTTTAAAAAATCTAAGATTAAGATGATTTTTTTTTTAATTGAGTCAAGCCAGAGGCGTATTAAAGGTCTTCCATTTTGTAGTTTAGCCTCACTTATATATAATTATATTTTTAATTATTTGTTTCATTTGATAGGTATATATTATTATATTAATAAAAATATTATTTAATATTTTAATTTAATAAAAATATTTTATTTATATATAATTAAGATGTAATTTATCCATCCATTCATTATAGAAATTTTATTCATTTTGGATTTTGTTTGATCTTCATTTAAGTTGTCCACGTGACATTGTATGTTTCTTTTACTTTTTTATTTTTTTTCTTTTTAGTCAATTTTTTTGTTTTTTAATTTAGATAAATTTTTAGCAAAAACCCAATGGCAGTGTCCATGTAATATCCCAATTTTTTTTCATTTTTTTTAATTACACAAATTTTGCAACAAAAAAGTTGATAAATAAAGATTATAAAATAATTTATATTTGATAGATTTTGATCAGATGGAGATATCCATACGACACCCCTATGTAGTTTTTTTCTTTCTATTTTATAATTACATATATTTCGTAACAAAAGAAATTAATGAATGAAGATTACAAAACAATTTGTATCTAATTAATTTCGATCCAACTCGATTCAATAAGAGGTGATTTTTTTTCTTTTTGGTTTGTTTTCTATTAGAAAAATTTGTAAGAAAATAAGGTTAATGGAGGTGTTGTCATTGTAACTCCTATTTGTTTATGTCCTGTCATTTCTTTTGTTTTTGTTTTTGTATATTTTTAATTAAATTAATTTTACAACAAAATGAACTAATCAATAAGATAGTAAAATAATTCATATCTAATAAGTTTTTATCCTCTTGATTCAATATGGTGATTTTGTAAAAAAGCTGATAACAAGCCATGTTGGGTTGTTTTTATAAAAAACATGGACGCGTCAAAAGTGGATCTAAAATGCTTTGCTCCAAGAGACCCTGCTATATATATAAATATATATTTATTATCTATTTAATTTTATATTTATATATATACATTATATTAATAAAGTTATTATTTTGTCTTAATTTAAGATATTAACATTTTAATCTTAATTTGAATGTTGATATGGCACCGCAATAATATTTATTTTTTGTTTATTTTTTTCAACTTTTTTACTAATGAATTTATTATTTAATACCTTGATTTAAAAAATTAATATTTTAAACTCAATTTGAATTTTCACATAATACCCAATTAACTCCCTTTTCCTTTTTCCCTTTTTTTTATTTTTATTTGCTTTTGCCTTTTTTATTAAATTAATTTTGTTAAAATTTTGATATTAATGGAAATGTCCATGCAGTGTCCCATTCGACTTTTTTTTTTCATTTTTTATATTTATTTAATTAGATAAATTTTGTAACAAAAGGTGCCACTTGATAAAAATACCAAAATAATCTATATTCGATTGAATTTGATCCTTTCAGATCCAATAAGGGATGGATTTTTTTTTTTTAAATCAGGATCGAGTTAGGACAGATTGAGTTTTTTTTATAAGACATAAGATAATGGCAAAAGTATGTTTAGGGTTTTTTATCCCGACTCATTTCAATATATATATAAAAGTATATATTTTACTATAAATTTATTTTTATATTTATATATGTGTTATATTAATAAATTATTATTTAAGACTTTAATTTAAAATTTTAATATTTTAAACTATGCCAATGTGACAGCCTTTTTGAATTTTGTTTTATTTTAGATTTTGATTCTTTTTATTATATTTTGTGAGAATAAAATTTCAATTTAATATTCATATATTATCTCTATTTAATATTTTTACTTTTTATCTTTTTTAATTAAATAAATTTTGTAAAAAATTTGTGGAATAGAAATAGAAAAAATTTTGGCTCACGATATGAGCATCCATCTAATGTTTATATAAAAAATAGGACTATAAAAAAATGTCAAATCTAACGTGAGGTAAAAAATGATTATTTATCTGTTAATATTCTTGATAGAAATTGAAATTTGATGGGTCTTAATAATTTGTGAGTTAAATAGGAGGCATTTAGAAATCTCTAATAATAACGTCAAGAGGATATTATGGAATCATAAAAAGAAAAAATAATTCCCTTCCGGCAACCCTATAACCTCAATTTAATACTCTATCGAAAACATTTCATTTCATAAACCTAAAGCTGATTTTTTCTACTTGTCGTTATTCCATCTTCAGCATGTAGTGAACTATTTGTGCAATGACGCTACGCTTGATTTAAAGCTTATTTTTGTTCTCTTGACGTGTATGTGCTTTGATCTGACTGAAGCTTCCATAATATATATATATATATATATATATATATATATATATTTTAAAATAGACAGAGAGGAATGATTTGGTCTTCAAGTATTCTCATGTATCCAGTTATTTGGAGAATTATATGATGGACAATAACTTCAAAATTATGACATATTTAAAAAATTTAAATTATATATTTTTGTTTATTTTTTATAATTATGTATGAGTGATTTAATTAAAAAAAAATGAAAACATTACTGTGCGACTTGCAATAAAGAAAAGTCAGACGGACCGAAAATTATTGAGGTGACTCTTGTATCGGTGTATGCTTGGACCTAATCATTTCAATGGTTTGAGACCCATTTATTTTCCAATATGTTTTTTATTGGCCCAAACCTCAAAATTGAGTCCAGTCCATGCTTTGTCGACGTTTCCAGTGCTTTATATTTGCTGCGTTGTCCCCATTCAGCAATGGTTCCGGTTCAAACGGAGCGGCGGCTCCAGCTTTCAAAGCCACCATGATTTGTATTTGTATTTTTATTTGTATACACATTCAAATGCTTTCCTTCTTGTCTCCTTCTTCAAGCATTGCTTCCCTGCTTTCCTCTTCAATCTTTACTACTTTCCTTTTCACCTCTCCTGCTTTAATTCCTCCCCTGTTAATTAGCATTTCAACCGCTTGTTCTCAACTCTACACAAACAGACAATTCTTCCACTAGTAATTTAGAGTTGAAAGCATGCATGCATGCATGTTCCACGGTCAAAGGCCCCTCAATATATAATTGGCATTCCTTCTAGCACCCATTAGCATACAGTGGGTGGAGCCATGAGGAGTGGGAGCAGATCACTCCCTTCTCCGTCTCCTCTCTCTATCCTCCTCTGCTCTGCTATTGAAGGTGGTGCAGTGGTGCTGTTATCTTCTTGCACGTAATTACCAGAATGCCCTGAACAAATGAATAAAATGCCTTACTCGTCCTATAAAGTTTGGTGTCGTACCTATTAGTACCACAGGAGATTAAAGTACCAAATACCACAGGAGATTAAAGTACTAAATATCGACTAAATAGAGTTGATACATTGAGTCGAAGTAAGTTTTTGTTCGTTTCGAATTTAATTTAATTTTATAATTAAAAAATTTGAATTTAATTTAATTTAATTTTTTTTATTTTTATAATATTCGAATATGATCTAACTTGATATTGTATAAATAGTATCCGATTCGATCCAATCAAAACTTAACAAAATATTATTTTATAAATATAAAATATTATTTTTTAAAATATAAATATATCATTATATAAATATATAAAAATAAAAATTAAAAAAAAAAAATTTTTATATAATATTAGATCTAGTTGAGTTGAGTTTGTCTAAAACTCGAATCTAATTCGACATTTATTTTTTTTTAATAATATCCCACCCAAAACTCAATTTAAAAAAAAAATTTGAATCTATAATATCAGATCAAATCGAAATCTGTCAAGATCGAATTGAATTGTCAACCCTACATGTAAAGAATGTAGTTTATTTTCATTTAATGGTATATGATTATTAGTTGATACTCTAAAAATATATTTCAAGCTTTAACAATTTACAACCGATCATATTATGTTCCAATAATTCTACTGAGTTATTATTGTGCACTCACTTAATCTTTCCATTAGGGGAAACTTTGTAAAAGAGAAAATCCCGTATGTTCATTCAGGTCTAGACTCGTATTGATCTTGAAATTATAGATCTAAAAGTTTTGTTTGTAAACCCAAATCAAAAAGCTTCTAAAAAGATGCTTTTGAAATTCAATGTAAATTTTTTTTTTTTGTATAAAATGATTGCATTATCCACATATCTTTAAATTTTTATTATTTTATACATATTTTGGATATTTCAATTTACCATAACATTTTTTCTGCAAAACATTTAAAATTCTTAAATCATATATTTTTTCTGCATACTTTTAAAAACATTTTTCTTACCCAATTTTTTTAGCCACAACAACATCCTAAACCATAGTTTTTTTTTTCTTTTAAATAAGTGGTAAAAACAGAGGTTACCCCTTCAATTTAATTAAGTCATCCTCCAGCTAATAGCATTTCTAAAATTGCCAATTGCTTATTATATACAGAAATTAATAATACAATGGCCAGTAGAAGATAGAGAAAAAAAATCATGTTACAATGGCCAGTAGAAGATAGAGAAAAAAAATCATGTTTCCTTATTTCCTATAATTGGTTATCAGCAAAACTCAAATTCCCCAACATGGCGTTTCCCATGTTCCAGAACAGATGTGTATACAAATACAGATCATTTTATATTAGATCTTAGTATAATTCAATGGGTTGTTTCCACAAAATGCAGCCTAAAACACATTGCTCACACATTGCAATGCTGATGGATGACCTACAACTGGTAACAATGTACACATAAAACAAAAAACATATATATATATATATATATTTATATATATACGAATCATGCTAAGGCAAAACAATGTTTTCTTCCTCAATCTCATGATTATCTCCTTCAGTTGAACACAAAGGAGATGAAGGAAAAGAAGAAACAGGAGAAGAATAAGAAGTGGAATCAGAAGAAGTAGCAGTAATAGCCACAAGCAGGTCAAGGAAGGCACCAATTATAAATCCATGATTGTTCTTGCCATTGACCTTCAAATACCAGCCCAATAACTCTTCCAAGGACTTCCAATCTTTCAGCCCATGTGTCTCCACCATCTCTTCCATCGACCTTCTAAAATCAACATACGGATCATCTGACTCCATAGCTAGAACTACACTTTCTTTGAATGGAAACCCTCCACCTTTGGGCTCCTCCAGGATTGAACTAGTGCCACCAGGCTCGAAGAACAGCCTGTCTGATCGCGCTCCTCGTACAACCATCTCCAATGAATCCCCATCAAAGCCCCAATCTGACTCCGTGGGAAAACTTGCTGACTCTGAAGAGTTTGTGAACCATGATTCAGGCGTTTCAGCACCATCATTGGGCTCAAAAAACATCCAGTTAACAGTCTTGAACACTTCATCTCCTGCTCTGAAGGAAAGGGTCTTAGGGTGCTTGCATGAGGGCCATTGCCAAGGTTGCCTGGTTGGTTCTTTTTTGTTGAATAGTGTAGGGAGCTTCATTTTCTTGACCATTAACCAATTTGGTGTCTAGCCAAACTAGACGAGAACTGTGTATAAATGTCGTCTGTGAATATCTGCCCGTTGTAGGTTGGGTATTAATTGAAGAGGGAGGTTAAAGAGTGATATTTAAAGGGGAAGCTGGAAAGGAAATGGGGTTGGTAGGTCTATCATGTTTGTATTGAATTTGGAGTTTGTAGAATTCAATTGTATTTAATGTCCACCCTTAATATAACTAAATTATAACAGTATTTTTGTCAACTTCAATTTTATATTCAACTGATCATTTTTAATGCCAATTAAAATGAAGCTCATAATTTATATACGTAAGCTGCTCCTCTATGTTGTAATCAAAGGGCACATCCCATATTATAAAAGGGATTAAAAGTCTAACCTACATTGTTTTCCTTAAGTACAAAAGATGTTGGATTGGTATAAAACTAACAGCATCTTTTGGTTCATAAAATGAAAAAAAAAAATGACATAGAATAATTATTTTTTGAGAATAAAATATAGGGATTATAGTAATTTTGCAATTCCGTTCATATATGGGATGGAATAGTAAATTAATAATGTTACGATGTTCAGTTCAGTAAAAATATATTAAAGAATATGTAAAGAATAAGTATAACAATATTATTTTATTTTTTAATAAAATCAATGACATGTTGATTTATAAAAATTTGATCTTGTGATGTGATACGTACAGGCATCTAATTAATTTATAACATGTTAACCCTTTTCATATTAGATGAGGCAATGGCTCGCCTTTCTTGATGGTGAGCTTTTGCTGTGTGTTAAGAGTTAACAAAATTGATTTGAATATAAAAAATTCGTTTCATTTGTAAGGTTTACTAATTTGCTTCTATGTTCCTCCTTATTCTGCGTCATAGCCATTAAATATTCTGCAAAAGTTACTTGAACCTTTGTACCGTTGAATTTCTGTGTCCTAGTTTGATAAAATATTAAAAATGAAAATTTTTAATTTTTTAATTTTTTTCAATGCGTTTGATTACATATATTAAAATTCACTTAATTTGACTAAAAATTGTTGAATAAGATATTCAGTAATTTTTTTTAATTATTATCCCTTAAAAATAATATTTTGTTATCTGAAATGAAAATAAAAATAAAGTGACAAAATGATAAATTTTCATAATTCAATATTTTATTTATCAAACAATATATTTATATTTAACATTTAATTTTTAATAAAATACCTAACAGTTTTTATCATTTAAATTAAATACTTATAAAATTTAATATTAAGAACTCAATATTTAATTTTCCAGCATAGATTACCAAATAGAACCTTATTAGCCACTGGGACACTCCTCAGTTCTCAATCGACTTCTATAATTTTACCTATAATGATAGAAATAATATAAAGAGTTCGACAAAAAATTAATATATGTTTTTTAGAATTTTTAATATATTCTTAAATTTTTTACTTTTATATTTATTTGATTAAAAAATATTATAAATTTAATGTTCTTTTAATTTATAATTTTCAAATGTTAATTTTAATATTGTGTTAACTAATGAAAAATCAATCAACAAAGATCATTATATTTTTATTTATAAGACAAGTTCATGATGTATTTTATTAAAAGATATTGAACGTAAATAAATATTGAAAATCAAATTGATAAAATTAAAAAAAAATTAAAAAGCAATAATATAAAAAAAATTCATTACAAATAAACGTATTGGCTCACTAGCGTACAAATTATTGGTTTATAAAGCCAATTCAAATACAAAATACAACACCTTTTTTTAGCTATATTATTGATGAGAAAATTTGCCTCATTCTTGGAAGTTTCCATTGGTTTTCCACTTCAATAAGATGATTACGCTTCAATTAACTTTCTAGAAATTGCACATTAGCTTATTGGATCCGGAATCTTCTTCAAAAAATTTGAGTTCTTAATAGATGAGCTAAAGTAAAATTGAATTAAAAATGAGTGATCCTGGTGTCGGTCTATGGATCATAATGTCTGCCCAATTATGTTTTTGTTGAAAAGAAAATGGTTGGAAGTGAACTGGTCTCTGTCCCTCTGTCTGCTTTCTACCACATTTATCGTTGACTCAGAGGCATCTACGGTTGCACATGCTCCGTTGACTCTCGCAGCTTAACCTTGGTTTTGTGGCGTTTTGATAAATTATTATTTGGATTATGGACCATAACAACCATTTCTTTGGGTCCTATTTGCAGTATCCCATGTCACAATTGATTTTACCTAATGCTCTTGAACAAGCATCTTTATCCGCAAAGCTTTACTAAGAAGATATGGCCAATAAAATAAGAGTTTAATTATATTTAGATTAATATCATAAATAGTTTTTAAATTATAATAAAATATTTAATATAATATTTGAATTTAAAAAATTTTTAATAGTATCAAAATTATGAATCTATTAACTAAAATAATATTCACTTTTAACAAAATTAATTTCAAATAATTATACATAACGAACGAATTATATTTGAAGTATTATATTAGTTAAAATTTTATAATATAATATTAAAAATTTTTAAAATTTATATAATATATTAAATATTTTATTATAATTTAAGAATCATTCATAATATTAATCCTAATAAATTATCAATTATAAATATTAAAAAATTATGATATTTTCTAGAAAATTAATTTTAAAATTTTAAAATCTTAAAAAAACACATACAATTAATCTTTAAAATGTATTTAAAATTAAATTTTTATAAAATATAATTATATAATTTATTTATGATATATAACATTTATATATTAATTTACAATACACTAAATATAAATTCATAAAATAAAGTGCCAATCATTTCATAGCGTATCAGTATACTTGATTCGTCATTGTTCCCTGATACATGTACACAATATTCCTAAACTAAATTGAAGGTAAAATTTTCTAAAGCCGGGTTCAGCCTGCCAGCCTTATAGGCTTACACTAGCTAGCTTACATTGTTTTTTATAGTAATTAAAAACCTCTAATATACCTTATACTTATAACCTGACTATTATTTAAGAAATAAAACCATATTAGTATTAATTTACTAATCTATTTTTTGCATGAATGGTATTAGTTAGATTATGATCATCGATTGAGAATGAATATATGTTATTTAATGTATTTTTAATAAGATTTTATTTTTATAAATATAATAATGTGTTTAGGCTGTAAACAATTAAAAAATAAAGGTTTCTTCTAAATTTAATATAGGTGTAATGTTATAATTTATATTTAATTTATGAATCGGATTTGTTCAATAGTACAATTAATCATAAAAAAATAATAGCACCCATTAGTGATAAGTTCGAGACATATAATTAATTTTATAACATCCTAAAATGATCTTGTTCAAATTATTTTTTTCTTAAGATTTTATTATTCCTTTTTTCTTTGAATATTAAAAAATTTTTAAGTTATTTCTAACACTTTTGATATAACTTAAGAAATTCTTTCACTATAAAAGTATTTTAAAAAATCATTTTTTTTTAAAGGAACTATCATCGAATCTATTTTAATATTTTAGGAGTAAAATAAATTATAATTTTCTTGTCATAGCATTTCTAAAAATTATACCAACACTTTTGATACAACTTAAAAAAATTTCTTATTTAAAAATTTTGAGAAAATTACCACTTGTGACTTCTTTTTAATTTCATCATTGATGAGAATTTTAATTTATTTTGAAACATTTATTAGTTATTCATTATTCTTATTTAAGTTATATGTAAACAATTTTATTGGTCAAACTCCTAAAATATTTCCAACACTCTTGGTAAAATCTTGGAAAAATTCCTTACGTAAGAGTTTTTGATAAAATCATCACTCGTAATTTTGTTTTAGTTCCCGAAAGATTTCATCATGATCATCATTATTATTATTATTATTATTATTATTATTATTATTATTATTATTATTATTATTATCTCTCTTTTTACTTTTCTTTACTTATATATTTAATTTTTGCTATTTATTCAAAGTAAATGTTAATTTTTTTGGAAAAATTATAAAATATTTCTAACACTTTCAGAATATTTTAGAAAATTTTCTTACCCAAATATTTTAAGTAAAATCATTACTTTTGATTTTATTTTAATTTTTGTATTTGCAAAGAATTTTATTTTACTAAAAACATTTTATAAAAATTTTATTAGAAAAATTCTCAAAAAATATCCCTAACACTTTTTGGTAAATTTTTGAGAAAATTCCTTGATTTGAGATCATTAATAAAATTACTACTTGTAATTTTATTTTTATTTCATCATTTTGCTTATTATTATTTTACTTTTATTTATTCCTGTTCATTATTCAAAATTTTATTATTATTATTATTTTTTAAAAAATCCTAAATTATAAATTGGAATATTCATGAAAATAAAATGAATAATAAAAACATTATAGCAAAATGACAAAAAAAAATGAATAAAAATAGAAAAAATAAAAATATCAAATTTTCACTGGTCAACGGACAATCAATGTTGGAATCGACTCTAATTAGCGCCGGTCAACGACCGACGATCAATGGTTCATAGTAACAGTTTTGTTTGGTTTGGCAAGCAATCTAGTTCTATTTAGTACGGTTTGGAGTGATTTGATTTGTGGTTCAATTGGACAAGTTTATGTTTTGGCTAAGGCGGGTTTTGGTTGGTTACGCGAATCCTGGGTAAAGTCATTGGTCGAGTATGGATCCTTTCTTAAAAACAACATTTTTTTTGCCCTTTTTTACTATAAAGATAATTTTTTTAAGCATTTCATGTTTCTTATTAAAAAAAATCTCTCGCTCTCTCTTATCCAACTTTCCCTTTCCTTAGATGCCAACATTAGGCTGTTGTCACCATCGTATTTTCCTTCATTAGCTGTTAGTGGTTGTCACTAAAAATTTTTCAAAAATTTCAAAGATGCTCCTCTTGTTTGTCTAATCTCTATTCTAAGGCTCGATTTTTCAAAAATATTTTGTATAGCCTAGATCTGACCCCCAAGGTTCGAGTGAAACCCACCAAAACACTAGTCTCCACTACTCCAATCACAACCCTTTCACAATATGTTCTTCCAATCATCTCTATCTTTTTTCTTCCTAAGTTTGAAGCTTTAAATCCACCTAAAACACCCTAAACCGAAACCTTATATATATATATATATATTTTTTTTTTTGGTTTCTTGGCATTGTTGCTTTCCTCCCAAGGGATATGTTGTTTCTTTTTTATGTGCTATGTATCTTTTTTTTCTTTTTTTGCTTTACAAATTTGAAATGGGATGTTTGGCATTGATAACGGTTTTGGCAGTAATGATGGATGATTATTGG